GTACAGCACTGCCTGTTTATCCCCGCCCACCGAGTATGTCATGGCCTGTTTAGCCCCACCCACCAAGTCTACATCACTGCCTGTTGAGCCCCGCCCACTAATTGTACAGCACTGCCTGTTTAGCCCCGCCCACCAATTCTACATCACTGCCTGTCTAGCCCCGCCCACTAATTGTACAGCACTGCCTGTTTAGCTCCGCCCACCAAGTCTATGTCATGGCCTGTTTAGCCCCACCCACCAATTCTACATCACTGCCTGTTTAGCCCCGCCCACTAATTCTACATTGCTGTATTCTCGCATGTAGTGTTTGCGAGAGAGACGAATGCACAGATCTATGCAGAAACCTAACGATAAAGATGCTCTGAAGACAAGAAGATGCTGTTCAGAGCCAAGTTGTGGAAAAACAGTCTTTCATTGCTTTCCTTCTGATCCCAACATTAGGAAAGAGTGGATGAACTTTATTTTTAATAAAGATCCAGACCGCGTCAGTAAGAACTCAGTTATTTCTTAACTTCATTTTATTGCAAATTCGTTTACAAACAGGGCACAATTTGACACGGGATTTTCAGAAAGATTGAAGCTAAAAGATGATGCTGTGTGACTGTATTGGATCCGACAGTAATGTCGCAACACACAAGTGTGAGTAACTGTTTTCATTACGCGATCACTATTGTTTTGTCTCTTCTTACAGATCGTTTGATATGTATTGAGTTATGTGTTTTTGACCTAAATCACAGCATTGTCCATCTGTGAGGAATGTAGGCTGTCAATCATACACAACTGTTAGCCAATCACAGCAGTGGGCGTTTACTTCTGAGTCTACAATCCTCCACTTGTGGAAAAACAGTCTTTCATTGCTTTCCTTCTGATCCCAACATTAGAAAAGAGTGGATGAACTTTATTTTTAATAAAGATCCAGACCGCGTCAGTAAGAACTCAGTTATTTCTTAACTTCATTTTATTGCAAATTCGTTTACAAACAGGGCACAATTTGACACGGGATTTTCAGAAAGATTGAAGCTAAAAGATGATGCTGTGTGACTGTATTGGATCCGACAGTAATGTCGCAACACACAAGTGTGAGTAACTGTTTTCATTACGCGATCACTATTGTTTTGTCTCTTCTTACAGATCGTTTGATATGTATTGAGTTATGTGTTTTTGACCTAAATCACAGCATTGTCCATCTGTTTGTCCAAAAAGCAAGCTTGACATGCGTTCCTTGCATGCTAATGTACAACCTCCACATCTGGGCCTGCCATTTTTTGGTAACACTTTATTTTAGGGGTCCAGAATAATGCATTAGTTAAGCATTAATTAATGGTTAACTTGTTCACAATTAAGCATTAGTTGAGCACAAACACACTAGTAATTAATGATTAACTTACCATTTAGGGAGCTCAGATTATGCATTAGTTAAGCAAGCAGATGTTTGTCCAAAAAGCAAGCTTGACATGCATTCCTTGCATGTTAATGTACAACCTCCACATCTGGGCCTGCCATTTTTTTGCTGTGATCATGGAAGAAACTTGAGTCCCTAAGGAATAATTCTACCATCATGGGGTTGAAAGAACAGGGGTATGATACGGCATTGTCCCTTGAGGCCCCATCATTACCCACCAAGCCATGGAGAACAGCTTCAGCCTTGGTGGGTAAAGCTTATAGAGCAACAGGTCAAGCTGGTGCATGCCTGAACACGATGGCTTTGAGACCTAGATGAGGGCGAGGGAGTAGTCCCAGATGCAGTTTAAGAGCTGTGCTGGTCCACCACAGAGACGGCCAGAGCCATCAGCTGTTCTCTGGCAGCCCTGATGGTCTCTTGCTAAACTTGTCCAATATTAAGGAAAAGGACAAGTCCTTTTTGTTGGATGCCCCACTTTCCCCTCCTGGCCTCTTCTGGGATATTGTCACCTCAGTTGTCAAGAGAGCTTTTAGGAGCCAAAAAATCTCCTCTTATCTTCCTCGCCGAGCTCAGGTCTCAACCAGCTCCTCATACAGGGCGCAGCATAAACAGAGTGTCGCCTCGCAAGAATGAGGTCGGGGCGGTGCTCTCAGCCAAAGCCTGGTAAGGGGAAGAAGAACCTGAGGACCGTCATCCTCTCTAAGAAGGCCAGGAGCATCAGTCCTCTGAGGGCAGGCTGTTCCGGGGTGAAGTGGTTTACACCTTAGCATATGGTGCCCACTTCTCCTCTGTGCCTTCAGGGGACTGTTCTGCCAACCTGGTGCTTCTGGTGCTTCAGGACAGCGTTTTCCTAGCTCAAGCCTTCACCCTCGCCCGGAGATGCAGAAACTAAGGGTTTGGCCCCTGAGGGGCCCCATTCATAGATTCCAGTCTCTCAACTGAGGTTGTTGAGACCATACTTCACTCCAGAGCTCCCTCCACGAGGAGTATTTTCCCTTCATGTTGCAGAACAGTGTACAGTACGGTGCTGGAGCTCCTGCAGGATCGGTTATCTTAGTAACATCTCTTAAGAGAGTAAAAAAAAAAAGTATTAACTTGTAATATTAACTTATTTTTTTATTATTTTATTATTAGCTTCTATATTATTCAAGACACATTACTTTAGCTGGTGTGTTTGTTTGCCTTTACTCCGTGTGTGGTACACTTCATATAGAGACACTGCTGAGGGAATGGAGATGCAGTGAATGTTCTCGTCTGTTATTCAAACAGAGAAAGAGAAATCATCAGATCTTATGGCTCTCACTGGATTGCCTTCTGTTTCATCAAGCATCACGTGCCATGAGTACAGGCCTGCTCACACCGAGAACAATAACGATATTAGCTTCACGTTTGATCGGAGCGCATGCTTCAGTTGCGTTCTCAGAAGATAAATGCATGACTTCAGCTCTGAAAGCAATGCCAAAGATATTGTTCCAGTTGTGGTGTGGATTTTTGGAAACTTCAGCGTCTTTATTGTGATCAGCCTCATCCAGAGCTGAAGAACGGCGGCGGCTTTTCTCCACTCCATCTGCTGCTGTGTAGGAAGTGAGGTGACTCATCCATCCAAATGACTTGTTTTGCTTTTTCACATTTAGAGTCTCATGCACATCAGTCATTACAAGAACTTCCTTAATATGATTGCAGCTCTTGAGGAGTAACATAGCTCTCGAGCTCAGATACATAAGACAATCAGATCCATACTGCACCCTGAACAGATAATCACTGTATGTTATGTGCATCATGTACATCGTGTGAGTGAGCGTGTGTGTGTGTGGAGTGCTGGAGCTCACCCACAGAGGCGGGCATCTCCCCCCACTGCAGCACCGTCTCCCTGGTGATGCGGCCATAGGTGTCAATATAGACGCCCTCGTCCTCGTAACACAGCAACAGCTCCATCCCACTGCTGCTGGGGAGGATGATGATGGCATGCGGCCGAATCACACCTTGGATCTGAAACACACAGACATTCCGTTATAAAGAGATTAAGTACATTTACTGGTGGTCACAGCACATAATACAGCAGGTCACCTGGTCATTACATGAAAGTACATTTTACATTTAATTAAAGTCAATTTAATTATGTTTTTTTTTAAACAAAGGAGCACATATAACAACATTTTTAGAGATGCAAACTTTGTAAATTGGAAGGACAAGCACTTTGTCAAATAAATTGTCATAAATAACATACAGCTACATATATTAGGTTGTAATATCAAGCTAAGAGGCACCCCTGATGAAACAAAGTACTTATTGTTCTTATATACCAACTGATTGTTTATAAATTAATGTGTTCTATTCAAGAAAAAACTATCTGCAAGATAGACAAGCAAATGAAACCTATATCAATTCATATCACAAGAAATTTAATACAAAGTCAAATCAGATGTTGCATCTTAAAAAATAAATTGATAAATAAATAATGTACATAGTATTTCAATATCAGAGTTCTGTGTAGTCCGGCGGTCCCATGTCCAGTGATCCTGGAGGTCTCAGGTCTTGCGGTTCCGCAGGTCCTTCCAATGTCCTCAGAGCTTTCGATGATGCTACCACCATCCTGTGTGTGCCATGCATGTGTCTCTGCCTCTGTCAGGCACAGAGGCAGCATCCACTGCCTCAAGTCTGGTGGTCCCGGAGGTCAACAGGTCTGGTGGTCCTGGAGGTCCCAGGTCTGGTGGTCCAGGAGGTTAACAGGTCTGGTGGTCCCCGAGGTTAACAGGTCTGGTGGTCCTGGAGGTCCCAGGTCTGATGGTCCTGGAGGTCAACAGGTCTGGTGGCCCTGGAGGTTAGCAGGTCTGGTGGCCCTGGAGGTTAACAGGTCTGGTGGTCCTGGAGGTTAACAGATCTGGTGGTCTTGGAGGTTAAGCCCACGCGGTCTCACTCTGGCGGGCATGGGAGTAAGATGGTGCCCCCTACTCTGGTTCTCCGTAACCATGAAAGCTGAGCTCCAGGGGCTTTTTCGAGCGAAGCGAGGCCCAAGTGGGACAAGTCCTTTTTGTTGGATGCCCCACTTTCCCCTCCTGGCCTCTTCTGGGATATTGTCACCTCAGTTGTCAAGAGAGCTTTTAGGAGCCAAAAAATCTCCTCTTATCTTCCTCGCCGAGCTCAGGTCTCAACCAGCTCCTCATACAGGGCGCAGCATAAACAGAGTGTCGCCTCGCAAGAATGAGGTCGGGGCGGTGCTCTCAGCCAAAGCCTGGTAAGGGGAAGAAGAACCTGAGGACCGTCATCCTCTCTAAGAAGGCCAGGAGCATCAGTCCTCTGAGGGCAGGCTGTTCCGGGGTGAAGTGGTTTACACCTTAGCATATGGTGCCCACTTCTCCTCTGTGCCTTCAGGGGACTGTTCTGCCAACCTGGTGCTTCTGGTGCTTCAGGACAGCGTTTTCCTAGCTCAAGCCTTCACCCTCGCCCGGAGATGCAGAAACTAAGGGTTTGGCCCCTGAGGGGCCCCATTCATAGATTCCAGTCTCTCAACTGAGGTTGTTGAGACCATACTTCACTCCAGAGCTCCCTCCACGAGGAGTATTTTCCCTTCATGTTGCAGAACAGTGTACAGTACGGTGCTGGAGCTCCTGCAGGATCGGTTATCTTAGTAACATCTCTTAAGAGAGTAAAAAAAAAAAGTATTAACTTGTAATATTAACTTATTTTTTTATTATTTTATTATTAGCTTCTATATTATTCAAGACACATTACTTTAGCTGGTGTGTTTGTTTGCCTTTACTCCGTGTGTGGTACACTTCATATAGAGACACTGCTGAGGGAATGGAGATGCAGTGAATGTTCTCGTCTGTTATTCAAACAGAGAAAGAGAAATCATCAGATCTTATGGCTCTCACTGGATTGCCTTCTGTTTCATCAAGCATCACGTGCCATGAGTACAGGCCTGCTCACACCGAGAACAATAACGATATTAGCTTCACGTTTGATCGGAGCGCATGCTTCAGTTGCGTTCTCAGAAGATAAATGCATGACTTCAGCTCTGAAAGCAATGCCAAAGATATTGTTCCAGTTGTGGTGTGGATTTTTGGAAACTTCAGCGTCTTTATTGTGATCAGCCTCATCCAGAGCTGAAGAACGGCGGCGGCTTTTCTCCACTCCATCTGCTGCTGTGTAGGAAGTGAGGTGACTCATCCATCCAAATGACTTGTTTTGCTTTTTCACATTTAGAGTCTCATGCACATCAGTCATTACAAGAACTTCCTTAATATGATTGCAGCTCTTGAGGAGTAACATAGCTCTCGAGCTCAGATACATAAGACAATCAGATCCATACTGCACCCTGAACAGATAATCACTGTATGTTATGTGCATCATGTACATCGTGTGAGTGAGCGTGTGTGTGTGTGGAGTGCTGGAGCTCACCCACAGAGGCGGGCATCTCCCCCCACTGCAGCACCGTCTCCCTGGTGATGCGGCCATAGGTGTCAATATAGACGCCCTCGTCCTCGTAACACAGCAACAGCTCCATCCCACTGCTGCTGGGGAGGATGATGATGGCATGCGGCCGAATCACACCTTGGATCTGAAACACACAGGCATTCCTGTTATTAAGAGATTAACAGTAACTGCCTTAATAAATCCAGTCCGTGTCAGCAAATAGAATTCACAGATATGACACTCTACTGTACTGCTTATGCTATGGAGTCACATCACCCATAGTTCCTCTCAAGTACATTTACATTTACCAGCAGGTCACCTGGTCATTACATGAAAGTAGTATTTTCATGTTAAAGTTGTAAATTATATAAAGTGGTATATTATTAGAGAAAAATGTATACTAATGCACTAATAAATGTTAATAAAATATGCACTAATACTATGTATAGTTGAGACATCTTACATTTATGCTTTATAATAAAATCAATTCAATTATGTTTTTAAACAAAGGGGCACATATAACAAAATTATTAGAGAAGCAAAATTTGGAAATTGGAAGGACAAGCACTTGTCTGAAACACATTGTCATAAATAACATACAGCTACATTAGATATGAAAATTTGATACGAATCCAAGTCAGAGTTTGCATCTTTAAAAAAAAAA